GCCCTATTCAAACTGCAAAGTTGACTTTATAAACTTCTGGGGGCTAGTGCCAAAATTGGGAGATCTGTCTCACAGGCTAATCAAGCAACAGCCTCAAAGTCATTCTCATTGAGTCATATCTTACAGGAAACGTTGCAGACAATATCATCACTATCCCTGAATATTTTCTGTCCCACTGGCAAGTCAGACCCAGTAAAGGTGGTGGTACAGTGATACCTGGTCAGGAGGGAGTTTCTCTGGGTGTCCTCAACCTGAAATCTGATGGCATCGGGTGCAGTATGACAAGAAAACCTCTTGCAGATTATCACTTACCATCCTCTTTCAACTAAAGAATCAGTGCCATGTTGGAGAACACTTGGGTGAAGCATTAAGGGTGGCAAAGGCACAGAATGTTCTCTGGGTGTGTGATTTCAATACCCATTACCAAGAGTGACTCAGTAGCAGCACTACAGATCGAGCCAGTCAAGTTGACAGGATGTAGATGCCAGACAATGCAGCAGTTGGTGAAGAAACCAACATGAGGGAAAAACATACTTGACCTCATCCTCACCAATCTGCCGGCTGAAGATACATCTGTCCATGACAGAATCAGTAAGAGGGACCATCGCACAGTTCTTGTGGAGATGAAGTGCTGCCTTGACATTGAGAATAATCTCCATCGTATTGTGTAGCATTATTACCATGCTAATTGGGAAAGACTTCAAACAGATCTAGCAATTCAAAACTGGGCATTCATGAGGCACCGTGAGCTATGAGCAACAGGAGAACCATGCTCCAACACTGTCCGCAACCTCATGGTGTGTCAAAGCTCCCACTCTACCACGAAAACCAAGCCAGGGGATCAACTCTGGTTCAATAAAGAGTGTAGCGGGGCACGCCAGTAGCAGGCAGACGTAAAAATAAGCTGACAACCTTCTGAAGCTCCCAAGAAGGACTACTTACGTGCCAAACAGCATAATTAGTATGTGATAGAGAGAGCTAAGCGATCCCACAACCAACGTATCAGAGCTAAGCTCTGCAGTCTCCCCACTCTCAAAGATAGGGGAGCCCAATATATCAGTACAAAAAATAAGGTTGAGGAATTCGCGACAATCTTCAGCCAGTGAATCGTCCATCTCGGCCTGCTCCAGTGAGCCCCAGCATTACAGACACCAGTCTTCACCCAATTCAATTCACTCTACTTGATATCAAAAACAGTTGGAGGCACTGGATCCTGTAAAAGCTATAGACTCTGACAACATTCCAGCAATAGTACTGAACACTTGCTGCACCCTTGTTCAAGCTGTACCAGTACTGTTACAACACTGGCATCTCTACAACACTGGCATCTAGCCAATAATGTTAAAAATTGCTAAGCTATGTCCTGTACACAAAAAGCAGGACAAATCCAACCCAGAAAATTATCATCTCACCAGTCTACTCTCGATCATCAGCAGTGCTATCAAGTAGCACCTGCTCAATAAGAAGCCGATCAGTGACACCCAGTTTAGGTTAGGCCAGGACCACTCAGCTCCGGACCTCGTTATAGCCTTTGTTCAAACATGGACAAAAGAATTTAATTGCAGAGGTGAGCTCAGAGTGACAGCCCTTGACATCAAGGCTGCATTTGACAGAATGTGGCATCATGGAATCTACTTAAAACTGGACTCAATAGGAATCAAGAGGAAAACTTTCTGCTGGTTAAAGTCACACCTGGTACATGGAAAGATGATTGCAATTGTTGGAGGTCAGTTATCTCAGGAGTTCCTCAGGATAGTAGCCTTGGCCCAACCATCTTCAGCTGCTTCATCAATGACCTTCCCTTCATGTTCTCCAATGATTGCACAATGTTCAGCATCATTCTTGACTCCTCAGACACTGAAGCAATCCATGCCCAAGTGCAACAAGGTCTGGGCATTATCTAGGCTTGTGCTGACAAGTAGCAAATAATATTCATGCCACAAAATGCCACACGATTACCATCTGCAATAAGATACAATCCAACCACCGATCCTTAAAATTCAATAGCGTTACCATCACTGAATGCCCCACTATCAACATACTGAGAGTTACCATTGACCAGAAACTGAATTAGAATCATAGAATCCCTACAGTGTGGAAGCAGGCCATTTGGCCCATCGAGTCCACACTGACCCTCTAAAGAGCATGCCACTTAGACCTACTCTCCTACCCTATCCCTGTAACCCCATATTTTCCATGGCTAATCCACATAGCCTACATATCTCTAGACTGTGACAGGAAACCAGAGCAGCCAGCGGAAACCCATGCAGACACAGGGAGTATGTGCAAACTCCACACAGACTTTCGCCCAAGGGTAGAGCTGAACATGGGTCCCTGGCGCTGTGAGGCAGCAGTGCTAACCATTGAGCCACCGCTCCCAGACTTGCCATTTAACAAAGTGGATACAAGAGCTGGGGAGAGGCTCAAATTACTGTAGTGAGTAACTCACCTCCTGACACACCAAAGCCTGTCCACTGTCTACAAGGCATAATTCAGGTCTGTGATGGAATACTTCCACTTACTTGGATAAGTGTAGCTGCAACAACACTCAAGAAGCTTGTTATCACTGGACAAGGCAGCCTGTTTGATTAGCATCGCAACCAAGCCTCCACCACCAATGCTCTGTTAATCTGCAGAGCTCCAAACTTTAAGTCTATGTCAAGACACTCTCAATTGCATTGCAGAAGCTTAATGCTATCCAGAACAAAGCAGCCCATTTGATGAGCACCACATCCGGAAGTTTTCACTTCATCCAACACTGATGGTCAATAGCAGCACTATGCGCCATCACAAGATGCACTGCAGATATTCACTAAAGATCCTTAGATAGCACTATCCAAACCCTTCTGGAAGGACAAGGACAGCAGACACATGAGAACACGATAACCTGCAAGTTCCTCACCATCCTGACTTGAAAACATATTATCATTTCTCCAGCATGCACTAGGTCAAAATCCCAGAATTCCTTCCCTAAGATGCTTTGTAGGTCTGCCTAGAGAAGATGGTCCTGCAGACTTGAATGTAGGAGGGTTGATCAATAAGTTCGTAAATATGAAAATTGTGGGATGGTAAGTAGTGAGGTGGGCAGTTTTAGATTACAGGAGGATATAGACAGGCCGGTCAGGTGAGCTGATCAATGGCAACGGGAATTCAGTGGATGACTGAGGTGATGCACTTGAGTGGGACAAACAAGGCAAGAGATTACATAATGAACAACAGGACCCTAGAAAACACCAAGGATCAGAGGGACCTTGCTGTGCATGTCCACTGGTTCCTTAAGATAGTGGGACAGATAGACAAAGCGGTTAAGAGGGCAGATACTTGCCTTCATTAGCTGAGACATGGATTTTAAGAACTGGGAGGTGATGTTGGAACCGTATAAACCTTAGTTAGGTTGAAGATAGAGTATTGTCAGCAGTTCTGGAATTCACATTATAGGAGGGATGTGACTGCACTGGAGAGGGTGCAGAGATTTACCAGAATGTTGCTTGAGCTGGAGAATTTTAGTTATAAAGAGAGATTGGCGATTTTGTCTTGGAGCAGAGAAGAATGAGGGGACGCATGATTGAGATGAATAATATTAAGGGGGCAGAAACAGGATTGACAGGAAATTATTTTTCTCATTGGTGGAAGGATCAATGACTAGGCAGCATAGAGTTAAAGCAAGCAGAAGGTTTAAATGTGATATGGGAGAATTCTTTTCACTCAGAGGGTGGTGTGAATCTGGAACTCCCTGCCCGTAAGGGTAGTAGATGCAGATACCCTCATATCATTCCAGAAGTATTTAGATGTACACTTGCCATGCTAAGATTATGGTGAAGTACCGGAAATGTGATTAGAATAGTTTGGTGTTGTTTTTGACCAGTGCAGATTCAATGAGCCAAAGAGCTATTTTCTGTGCTGCAGATCTTGATGACTCTATAATACTATGATGCAGCAGCTCAAGAAGGTAGTTCACCACTACTTTCTCAAAGGTAACTAGGCATAGGCAACAAATGTTGGTCCAGCCAGTGATGCCCACAACATATGAGTGAATAAAAAAACAAGAATTCCATTCACCTGTTGGGTGGTTAAAAAAAAATGAACAGTACATGAAGCAGAGCAAGGGACATATTGTTCTTGCCAAAATCATGCAACACAGATTATTTGATCATGCTCCCATTGCTGTCTTGCAGACAAAGCAGAGAACAGACTAAAAAGATACTTGTTAGATGGTGGAGATCATAGAGTGATTGCAGACAAGCTGCAGGAATGTGGAAGGATGGTGCAACAGAGGCATGAGGCACCTTGACAGAAGGTTCCCTATCATGAGAAGTGACAAATGGCAGGATAGTTGTGCAGGCACAGACTGTCACATTTCTCACAAAACAACAATGACCATACTTCAAAAGGCTGAAGTGATCTTTATGTCATCTGGCAGTCATAAAAGGCTCTCCACAGCGATCACAGATAACAGGGTGCTGGGAGGTCTTGGATGGATTTGAAGAGCCAGAAAACGTTCAGTTCCCAACACACAAAGAAAACTGACCACTCACAATCCACACAATAATAACCAGCTCCCAACACACACACAGAACTCCAAAATAGTAAATTAGGAAGAATCCTCACACACTGTGCGCCTCCCAGATAATTACACCTCACCTTCTTATATTCAGGAATAAGCCATCAACAAAACTCAGCCTGGAAATCAGAAGGGAAATGCTTCCAATAAACACACTCAATATCCAACACACAGCTCCAGTTAAACAGTTCAGCACAAAGCACGGAGTAAACAGCTCTCTCAGCTGGATCTTCTCACATAGCATAAGTGACATTTCCACCCCTGACTGCCCACAGGATAGTCAGACTGCCTGAAGATTGGTGTGGATATTATGGGATACAATTTGTATAAAAGTTGTTCCTTTACTCACCATCTCCTCACTTGGTTTTCAGTCCCTATAGGAAGTGAACCAGCTCTGGAAGAGGAAGAGGAGAGAATGGGCAGAGTGGGTGGGCTCTCTGATTGACGTCTCTCACAGTCAATCCAAATATTTCTGCAGCAACATGAGTTTCCTGAAGCTTGGCAAACTGACCGGTGAAATAGAGGTGATTTTGAGCAACAGATCAGGTGGAGATTTAAACTTGTCATTGTCCCGTCTGAATAAAACCTCACTTATTGCAGCTGCTGCTTCTGTTCCCCTGGTAGACCTTGGGGGCCAGAGATTTCTAGTGTGGGAATAGCATTCTTCATCGTCAGATGATTTCAAACTGACAGCAGTAGTGTGGGATGTGTATCCTCGGATGTGTTCAACAGTACATCAGAAATAACGTGATCTGAAGCATCCAAGACAGCGATAATGCAGTGGTGGAATCAGCACGGGAAAGAGGGACACAGCAGAGAGGGGCACAGAGGGGAGCGACATAATCGTGGCGTTCAGAGGAGAAAGGGGCCGCAGGATGATGGAGGACAGGAGGGAGGGACAGGAGAGAGAAGGGACACTGGATGGATGTGTACATGTGAGGCACACAGGGAGCACGGCTCAGGGATTGTGTTTGTGTTTTGGTCTATGCTTGGAGAGCGACTATGCTCGGAGATTGATTCTGTTATCGGGTCAATGACCGAGCGAGCGGTCCCTCTCATGACCAGCCCTCTGCTGGCCTCTCACCCTTGCATGAGGCTGCACCATTCTTGACTCCACACCGATCACCTGACCCGATGTCCCATCCAGGATTTAGGAGGCAACAATATATACAAGAACTTTGGAGATGAAAGTGAGGTTTACCGGGGATAGTATTTTGCAAAGATGAAGGGGTTATGGGTTGGTTTTTGGAAGGGAAAGCTGATGAGACTTAAAGGAGAGAGGGACAGTATCAAAGCAAGAAAACTGCAAACAAGATCAGCGAACATTGCAACCCGGAGTGGAAGTGGATGGTCAGCAGTTTATTAAGAATAGGTTTGAGGGAAAGGGAAGTGGGTCACATGGACAAAATGAGCTCAGAGATGGCATGAAGAAAGATAACATGAAGGGAAAAATGATATTTCAGTGCTCAGACTGGGGGAACATTAATGGAGGTTTGTACAGGTGGGCTGGAGGAAGACAGGGAAGTGGCAGGAGCAGCTATTGGGACTGTTTCAACCATGAATTATGTTTGCCTAAGTTCTGAAGAAGGGTCACTGGACTTGAAACATTAATTTTTTTTATTCACAGATACTGTCAGACCTGCTGAGTTTTGAAAGCAATTTCTGTTTCTTTTGCAGATCTCCAGAATCTGCAGTCCTTTGTTTTATTCTAATAGAAGAGAGTTGGGGCCATAGCCCCTTGATGTTTGGTAGCATAACCATTATTGAATTCTCCACTACCAATATCCTGGCAACAGATGATACGTTGGCTACAAGAGCAGGTCAAAGTCTAGGAATCCTAAAGTGAGTAACTTACCTCCTATCCATTGTTCCCTCTAACCTGTGTTCTGGCTTTGTGGGCCCTCCTAGGTCTATGAATGGCAATGATGCCCTGAATTGGAAGTCAATGCTGCAATTGTCATGACGACACTGATTGCTATGCACAGAACCTTGGAGCAGAAGTGCGTGTTATGTATATAGTTTAGAGGAAATGTTGGTCCTGCCTGCCATCGGCAAGACACAAGGAGTGAATGTGATGGAATACTGTCCACTTACCTGGATGAGTATAGGTACAATAACTCTCAAGAAGTTTACACTAGCAGGGCACCACATCCACAAACATTCACTCCCTCCACCACCGATGTTTAGTTGCAGCAGTGTTCTATTTACAAGATACCCTCCAGAAATTCATCAGTGCTTCTTAGATAGCAACTTCCAAACTCATGATCACTTACAACCAGAAGGACAAGGGCAAATCCACCAGCAAGTTCCCTTCCAAACTATTCCTCATCATAAATAGGAAATATATTACCATTCCTTCAATGTTGCTGGGTCAAAATACTGGAACTCTCTCCTCAATGGAATTGTCACTGTTCCAAGCAAATGGTTTGCTCCAATTCAAGATGGTAGCTCACCTTCACCTTATCATGGGGCACAAAGGGATGGTTAATAAATTCTGGCTCAGCCAATGACACCCTGAATGAATAAAGAAAATCCAGAGACCTGAGCACTGATGCTGGCACGTTTGCAGCTACATTTGATTTATGAAATCAAACATTTGCATTACCTTTGATGAAAAGGTTAATTAGCTGTGGAGAGCTTTTCAATGCCCTGAGGATGTAAAGTTGATGTGTGAATTATTCTTTCTTTCTTGGAGAAATGTTCTGCTTCCTGTGAACTGGAAATTAAAAACCCACTGATGAGGAAAATAACTCAGTCCACAGTGACACTGACCAATTGATTATGTCTAGGGCTCTAATTATAGGATCTTGAGTGTTTCAGTGAATGGAAACACACCATGCTGACAAATCATCTAGTTTGGGTTGAGATAAAAGTTAATTTATTCTAAGTTAAAAATCTATACAGAACACTGATTGGACAAACAAGTTACACCAAACTTTGAATCAACTAAAATAACAAAGCATTTGAAAATGACTCAAGATCATTCCTAGAACACGAAATGAATCTTGGAAGAGTGTAAGGTGAAGATATCACACCATTAATACATTGAGGTTTGATGGTCCGAGGGAACGCAGGACTGCAGAGACTTACCACCCCCTCCCTCACCACACTCAGGATAGTAATCCTCCCAGAGAGGACAGTACAAACATTCCCCATAGTATTAGTTAAACACCCATCAGCTGAGCAGGATCTTCTCTAATTCACATTCCCAACTAAAGCAGAGTCTGAATCTATCCCTTACGCACTTCTGACAGCCGGACTCATTTTATAAGCACAAGGGGCTATAGCTTTAAAATTGGGAGCTGAGCTGTTCAGAGTGCGTTTATGAAGTGTGTCAGGAAGATAGGTAGTGCAGGACCCCTGCAATACTGAGTTCTGAATCTTGATGAAAGTGATCTGGGGAGTTAACGGCACCACAGCTGACTCAGCTGTAGGTAGCTACACAGAAAACACATTAATAATGATAGGAGGCTTTTTCTCAAAATCCACAAACAGGATTGCCTGGTCAGACCCATAATTACTGCCTGTTCTTGCCACATTGGAACCTGTCATTTACATGGGCTACTTTTAGTACAGCCAACCCATTTTCACTACTTATTGGTCCCGATTGTCAGCTTTCCTTCCTTATGATTATCCACCTGCTTGTCAGCCTGTTTCTCCCTCTCCCTGTGGGCTCTGTTTCCATCGATTGCATATGTCTTAAACCACCACACCCACCCTGACCCCATCTTCAGCATATATACCACCATTGCTTAGCTACCTTCAGTGCTGAAGAAGAGTCACCGGACCCGAAATGTTAACACTGCTTTCTTTCCACAGATGCTGCCAGACCTGGTGAGTTTTACCAGCCGGAGATGTGTATCTAGAATGGTGTGTTACCTCCTTGGTACCAGGGTTGAGGATGTCGCTGAACAGCTGCATCTGTCAGTGGGGAAACACTTAGGAGACAGTCACCATTGTATCATTAGGGTTAGGTTGGAAAAGGACGAGGAGCAATTGAGTGTAAGAATCATGAACCACAGCAATTTAATGCAGAGAAGTATGAGATGATTTATTTTGGTTGAAGGATCTCAAACACTTATTAAAAATAATGGTACAATTCTAAAGGAGGGGCAGGAGCAGAAGGAGCTGGACTTGTATGTGCAAAATCATTGAAGCTGCCAGTTCAGGTTGACAGAGTGGCTTTATTTGCATGGACATTGAATATAAAAGCAATAGATTATACGTTCAAGTAATAAAATACTGGTTCGGCCTCTACCAGAGTGCTGCACCTAGTTCTGGGCATCACCCTTTAGGAAATATGTAAAGAAATTGGAGAGGTGCAGAAAAGATTTAAGGGAATGTAGGTCCAGGGATGAGGAAATTGGGAATGGTTTTCTTGAAGAAGAGAGGTTGACTAGGGATTTGGTACAGGATTTCAAAATCACGAGGGGGCAGTCAATGAAACAGGAGAAACTGCTCCCACTCATGTAAGGATCAAGAGTGAGAGGACATGGATTTAAGAGAATTGGAGAAAGAAGCAAGAGAGAGCTGAGGAAGATAAAACTTTCATGCAGAGACTAATCTGGATACGCTGCCTGAGTGTGAGATGGAAGCAGCTTCAATTGAGGCATTCAAAAGGAATTGGATTATCTGATAAAGGGCGTTTGTGCTCTGGGGGAAGGACTGGGACATGGTACTCTACGAAGTACGATGAGTCTGTCTCACACAACACACTAGGAAAATGGTCCTCTCCTGTGTGAATATTCTGATGTCTCAGGGGGCTCAAAGTAAACACAAAAACTTTAACATATATCTCACAGTAAAAATGTTTCTCCATTATACAGTACCCACACCCTGTGTTAATGGTCCTTGGAACAGACACACCTTGCGTTTTAAGAGACCTCTTGAATATCCTCCTTAGACCTCTCTGCATATTTATGTCTGTCTAAATTTAGGACTCTCCTTAAATTCAACTTCTTTGATTGCATTTGAAGGCCATCCCTCCTTCTGTCTTGGTGTTAATTTTTGTCTGATTACATCTCGATGAAACACTGTCAGATGATTAAGTATATTAAGATGCGACGTGAATGCAAGCTGTTGTCACATCACATTCTCTCCAATCTACAAGGTACAAGGTAAAAGGTAAAGGGCTGCTCTCTCATTAGAGAGACGATTGGTGGTGGTTTAACCTGAGGGTTATCACATTTCGGGAGGGGGAAGAGGTTGAGAAGGAGTGTCCTTCATGATAACCTCAACCACTGTAGGAATTAAACCCATGCTGTTGGTATCACTCTACATCGCAAATTGCCATCCAGCCAAATGAGCTAACTGATCCCCTTCTCAAGATACAGACCTGGAGGACAGACTGTGGATGTTGTTTGGCCTCTACGGCTCTGTTCGAGTGGCCGTTCAGCATCTGAAAAGCCAGACAGTGAATGTTGTGGGACAATGGAGACTGTCACAGCTGAGACATCCTGCCCTCCCCCAATTCCCCAGTTGGGCTCACTGATGAGTAACAGGATTCCTGGCTGATTCTAGAGACCAGAGACATCAAGGCTAATTGAAGTACCTTCATTAATACCCCTGGAATGGCTCCTCTCCCAGGCGCTTGTTTTTCTAACCACTGAGTATCTGGTTGTCTTCTTCGTCAGAATGAGAGTCAGTGAGTGATTTGTACCTGGTGCTGCACTGAACAGATGCTGAGTTTATACAGGAGTTTCTATACATACTGATGTCTGCTTTTGGTGATGTTTTGTCATCAGGTGAAAAGACCTAAATGCAGAATATAGAGAACTAGGAAGAAAGTTGAAATGTAGGACCTCAAAGGTAGTTATCTCAGGATTACTACCAGCGCCACAAGCTAGTCAGAGTGGAAACGGCAGGATATACAGGATGAACATGTGGCTGAAAAGATGGTGTGAGGGCGAGTGTTTCAGATTCACGGGCATTGGGACTGGTTCTGGGTGGAGGTGGAACCTGTACAAACTGGACTAGGACTGATGTCCTTGGGGGTGATACTTAGTAGAGTGGTTAGGGAGGGTTTAAGTTAGTGTGGCAGGTGGATGGGAACCAGAGGAGTAGTGTGGTAGATGCAGAAATTGAGGGAGAGGTAGAAACCAAGGCTAAGGACAAGAACAGGCAGGGAAATGCTGCTGAAAACAGTGGGGGAGTTAGTCTGAAATGCATATGTTTCAATATGAGAATTATAATAGGCAAGGTAGATGAACTTAGAGCTTTGGTTAGTACTTAGAACTATGACAGGAAAGAGGGACAGGACTGGACAGCTGAATGTCCTATGATTTAGATGTTTCAGGTGTCATAGAAGGCGGTGAAAGGTTGGGGGAGTTGCATTACTGGTAAAGGACTATCTCACAGCTGCAGTGAGGGAGGATCCATCAGAGGACTCGTGCAGCAAGGCAACATGTGTAGAACTCAGGAATAGGAAAGGTGAAATCACAATGCTGGGGGCATACTACAGGTCTCCCAACAGCCAGTGGGAGATAGAGGAGAGAATATGTAGACAGATTTTGGAAAGATGTGAAAACAGCAGGGTTGTTGTGGTGGGTGATTTTAACTTCCCCTGTATTGATTGGACTCACTATGTGCTAGGAGCTTGGATGGGGCAGAATTTGTCAGGACCATTCAGGAGGGTTTCTTGACACAATATGTAAAAAGTCCAACCCGGGAAGGGATTATACTGGACTTGGTTTTGGGAAATGAGCCCAGCCAGGCGAGTGAAGTTCAGTGGGGGAGCATTTTGGGAGTAGCAACTATAATACCATGAGTTTAAAGATACCCATGGATAGGGATAACAGCAGTCCGTGGGTGAAGCTGTTAAATTGGAGCAAGGCGAACTACAACAATATTAGGCAGGAACTGGAGAATGCTGATTGGAGGCAGCTGTTTGAGGGTAAATCTACATTGGACATGTGGGAGTATTTGAAATGGCAGTTGATAAGAGTTCAGGAGCGGCACGTTCCTGCAAGAATGGAGGATAGGTATGGCAAGTTATGTGAACCTTGGACGACCAAGGATGTTACGACCTTAGCCAAAAAGAAAAAGGAAGCATACGTAACGTCTAGGAGGATGGGAGCTGATGAAGCGCTTGAAGTACATAAGGGAAGTAGGAAAGCACTTAAACAAGGAATTAGAAGGTCATGAAAAATCGTTAGCTAACAGGATTAAGGAAAATCCCAAGGCTTTTTATACTTATATAAAAACAAGAGTATAGCCAGGGAAAGGGTTGGCCCACTCAAGGATAAAGGAAAGAATCCATGTGTGGAGCCAGAAGAGGTAATTGAGGTCCTGAATGAATACTCACCAAAGAGAAGGAATTGGTGGAAGATGATCTCAGGGGAGTGTTGAGTTTCTAAGCCAAGTTGCTATTAAAAGGAAAAGGTGTCGTGTGTCTTAAAAAGTTTTAAGGTAGATAAGTCCCCAGGTCCTGATAGGATCTATCCCAGAATATTAAGGGAGGCAAGAGAACAAATTGCTGGAGCATTGACAAACACCTTTGCATCTTCTTTGACCACAGGTGAGGTCCCAGAGGACTGGAGAATAGCCAATATTTTCCCATTGTTTAAGAAGGGCAATAGGTATAATCTTGGAAGTTACAGGCTTGTGAGTCGCACATCGGTGGTAGGGTAATTATTGAAAAAGATTCTCAGGTCCAAGATCTATACACATTTAGAAGCAAATGGACTTATTAGGATTAGCACGGTTTTGTGCGGGGGAAGTCGTGCCTCATTAACTTGATCGAGTTTTTTGAGAATGTGATGAAGATTATTGATGATTGTCTACATGGACTTCAGTAAAGCCTTTGACAAAGTCCCTCATGGCAGACTGATACAAAAGGTGAAGTCACATGGTATCAGGGTGAGCTGGCAAGATGGATACAGGAACTGGCTTGGTCATAGGACACAGAGGATAGCGGTGGAAGGATGCTTTTTGGAATGGAGGGTTGTGACTAGTGGTGTTCCACAGGGATCAGTGCTGGGACCTTTGCTGTTCATGATCCACGTAAATGATTCGGAGAAAAAGGTAGCTGGTCTAATTAGTAAGTATGCAGACTAAACAAAGATTGGTCAATTTGCAGATAGTGAGGAGGATTGTCAGAGGAAGCAGCGAAGATCGGTCGGAGGCATGGGCAGATAAATGGCACACCGAGTTTAATCCTTTTAAATGGATGGTCAAGTACATGTGGGAATTATACAGTGAATGGCAGAACCCTTAGGAGGATTGATATGCAGAGGGATCTAGATGTGCAGGTCCACAGATCACTAAAGGCGGCAGCACAGGTAGATAAGGCTTAGGGCGTGCTTGCCTTCATTGGAAGGGGCATTGAGGATAAAGATAGATAAGTTATGCTGCAGCTTTATAGAACTTTAGTTCGACCACACTCGGAATATTGCGCACAGTTCTGGTCACTACCCTACCAGAAGGATGTGAATGCTTTGGAGAGGGTACAAAAAATGGTTTACCAGGATGTTGCTTGGTAGGGGGGATTTTACCGACGAAGAAAGATTGGATAGGCTGAGTTGTTTTTCACTGGAACACAGGAGGTTGAGGGGCAACCTGATAGAAGTTTATAAAATTGTGAATGGCATGGATAGAGTGGAAAATATTAGGCATTTTCCCAGGGTGGAGGGGTGAATTACTAAGGAACACAGGTTTAATGAGTGAGGGCGGGAGGTTTAAGAAACATTTGTGTGAGGCAAGTTTTTCACACAAAGGGTAGTGAGTGCCTGGACCGCATTGCCAGAGGTAGTGGTGGAAGCAGGCAGAATAGCAGCATTCAAGAAGCATCTGGACAAACACATGACTGGGAAGGGAATACAGCGATCCTGTAAGTGAAGACAGTTTTAGAATGGAATGGCCAAATGTGTCAGCGCAGGCTTGGTGTGCCAAAGGGCCTGTTCCTGTGTTGTATTGTTCTTTGTTCTCTTTGTTAACTCTTGAAATAATTGACCTGGTGCTGGGAGAGATCAGAGACAAAGAGTATGTGAAACAATCCTGATATACATCACATTGGTAGCCGTTCTCTCCCATCTCTGCTCATTGATATTGCAGGAGGTCGGATGGCTGTGTGAAGTTTTTATTATAATATCTGCATCAATAGTCTCCCAAATGGTTTCTCACCAGTATGGTCCCTTTGGTGCTTTAGGAAAGCAAAGATTTGGGTGAAATCCGGACATATATTTCACACTTGAAAGAACGCTTGAGGAAATACAGGACTTCTATACATATTGATGTCTTCTTCTGGTGACGTTTGGCAACTTGATCAAAAGTTAAATTAGTCCTCTTGAAATGATTGGTCTGATGGTGGCAGAGGTTTGAGACAGACCTGGCTGCAGGTCCATGTGGAGACATCGTTGTGTGGCAAGACGCAAGATTTGGTGAAATAATCTGGACACATATCACATTGGAAGGGCTTGTCTCCAGTGTGGGTTCTCTGATGTTCCAGGAAGTTCAACAACAGTGTGAAGGTTTTAATACAGAACTCATACTGATAAAGTTTAAGCATAAGTCTTGAAACACAGCTCACACGTGAATCGTTTCTCCTCTGTTTGAATCTACTCATGTGCCAGGGTGTTTTGAAGACTTCAGGAGGACTTTATGGTAAATCTCACACTAGTAGGGTTTTCCTTGTGAAGAACATCTGATGAACCATCAGCTTCGATAAGTTAATGCAGGCTTTGTCACACTGTTCATATGTGAATAGTTCCTTTGCAGAACTTTGGGAGGTTCACCAAGCCTGATGCTTGAGCAAAGCCTGCATTGCACAACTCAGACTTGAATGGCTTCTCCCTTGTGTGGATGTGTCAGTGTTTCACGAGTGTCAATGACTGAGTGAAGGCTTAGTCACAAACTTTACGTTTGAAAGGTTTTTTCCCAGTGTGAATACGCCGATGATTTAACAAACCTGATTGTTGTGCAAAGTCCTTATTACACACCTCACATGTGAACGGTTTCTCCCCAGTGTGAAGGCGTTGGTGTTCACGAAGGGTCGATGACCGCAAGAATGACTTCTCACACACCTCACAGGTAAATAGCTTCTCTCGCGTGTGAATTCGTTGGTGAACACGAAAGTCATATGAGCATGAGAATGATTTGTTGCACACCTCACACTTGAACGGTTTCTCCCCAGTGTGAATGCGCTGATGTGTGCGGAGGTTTGATGACTGTGTGAAGGCTCGGTTGCACACTTCACATTTGAAGGGTTTCTCTCCTCTGTGAATTCTCTGATGTCTCAGGAGATCGGAGGATTGGGTGAATGACATTTGACAAATTTCACACTTGAATGGTTTCTCCCCCGTGTGATTACTCTGATGTGTTAGGAGCTTTGTAGACGTTGCAAAAGCTTTATCACACACCTCACACTTGAAGGGTTTCTCCCCTGTGTGGATTGTTTGGTGGACCAGGAGGTTCGATAACTGTTTGAAGGATCTGTCACACACATCACATGTGAATGGTTTCTCCTCTGTATGAATACGCTGATGGTCACGGAGGTTTGAAAAATGTGAGAACGATTTATCACACACCTTGCATGTGAACGGTTTCTCCCCTGTGTGGATGCGTTGGTGTGCACGGAGGTTCGACGACTGTGAGAATGATTTGTTGCACATCTCGCACGTGAATGGTTTCTCCCCTGTGTGACTGCGTTGGTGCAGGCAGAATTGGGATGAGCGTGAGAATGACTTGTCGCACATTTTACACTTGAAGGGTTTCTCCGCCATGAGGCTACCTTTCTGTTAACAGTTGTACAGCAAACATACCTTGAGATTTATGAGATTTATGAGCCGCTAAAGTCACATTTGAGCAGACATTGATCCAGTGGAGTGAGTCACTGGTTCATGAAGCTCAATGAATAATTGAAGCTCTCATCATACTTGGAACCACTCACAGTTCTTCCCAGCCTCACCTTGACTGAACACCAATAGCCAAACCTTCAGAAAGGTTGGTTCTAATGGAATGCTCCAACCCACTGACCAGTGTCAGATCTGATGATATGTCAAAGCTCTCCTGACCCAACTGATTTCCAGATGATGGTTTCACTGCCAAGCTCTCTTTGCATTGAGCAAAGCCGTGACGGGACTGAATGTCTTCCCACAGCTGTGCAGTTGTTCCTTGGGTGATGGTTAGAATCTATCTGTGGTGTCTATCCTTGCTGTATTCTCTGGTTTAGTACAGCTCAATCCTTCTGTAAAACAGGAAAAGGAAACATGATTTCCACAAATTCCCTCTCCTCCTTTGCTGAAGAGGCTGACTCCTCAATTAGAGACTGTTCCACGTGAGTGCTAGTCTGCTATTCCTCTGTGTGTGTGCGGGTGTTGCGGGGTGGGGGCAGTGACCACGAGCAGACAGTGTGACTTTTTTCTTTTCTCCTCCCAACCCTCCATCTTCACAATCACCGTGGGGCAATGGAAAAGTCAGTCGAAGGTGGAAAATAAAATAAGTTAACAAGCCACTATGAGGTTGTGTCATGCTGGTGAAGACTGCTGATACCCCTACAGTATGTGTTTAGTTTAAAAAAAACTCAGGAGAAGTGTTGATTCACTGGAGATGCAACCACATCCACCCTTGGTTTCCAAAATTACGTGATGAAAACACACTGGGCACAAAGAGCTCAAAGTTAAGGAAAATGTTGCATCAGCGTGGCTGATTGAAAAGTCTATCCTGGTTTATCCTGGGAAATTAGATACACTGCACTTGCTCAGACGGCACATCCCAAATTCAGCTCTCAGTCACAGCATTGGGCAAAACTATCAAATCCAAATCCACGCTTTTGGGAAAGCTCAAGGCCTTCATGTAAAGTCATGAAAGAAGACAAAGACATTACAACAAATGGGTCTCCATGTATGGCAGCTGAATTGAAAAGTGCACAGTGTTAAGTGGATGAGTTTCAGAGTGCTTTGGGACATAAAGTGGTCGTGAAAGAATCTATATAATTACATAACCTTGCTTTTTTTGGTTGTGTAAGGATTTACAAATATAGTGTGGTCAGATGTTATGGAGAGATTTGAAAAGTCAGATACATTTAGATTATAACACACAGAGAGAACTGACCATTCACAGTCCACCGGATAATAACCAGCTCTCAACACACAAAACTCAACAACAGGAAATCAGTAAGAATCCTCAGACACTCTGCACCTCCCACATAATTACATCTCACCTCCTCAGATTGGGGAATGAGCGATCAACAAATCTCGGCCTGGAAATCAGAAGGGAAATGCTTCCAATAAGCGCACTCAATATCCAACACACAGCTCCAGCGTCTAATAGTTCAGCACAAAGCACCGCGTAAACAGCTCTCTCAGCTGGATCTTCTCACACAGCATAAGGGACATTTTCCACCCCTGATTGCCAACAGGACAGTAAGACTGCCTGAAGATTGGTGTGGATATTATGGGATACGATTTGTATAAAAGCTGCTCCTTCACTCACCATCTCCTCACTTGGTCTGCAGTCCCCATTGGAAGTGAACCAGCTCTGGAAGAGGAAGAGGAAGAAATGTGCAGAGTGGGTGGGCTCTCTGATTGACGTCTCTCACAGTCAATCCAAATATTTCTGGATCAACATGAGTTTCCTGAAGCTTGGGAAACTGACCGGTGAAATGGAGGTGACTGAGCAGCAGATCAGGTGCGGATATAAACTTGTCATTGTCCCATCTGAATAAAACCTCACTTATTGCAGCTGCTGTCTCTGTTCCGCTGGTAATGGTTTGACAAGAATTTTTTTGTGTAGGAGTAGCATGCTTCATCCTTAGAGAGTTTCAAACGGTCAGGATCAGTGTGGAATGTGTATCCTCGGATGTGTTTGACAGTCGATCAGAAGAGGAAAACCCACAGCATCCAAGGTAGTGATGACATGCAGTGGTGGGAACAGCACATGCACGGGAAAGATGGACAGAGGTGGAAGGGACATCGGGAAGAGGAGCAATTTAATCTCCTCTATATCTCACTTCCAACCTTTTAAATCTCCCCTTCTTCTCTGATCTAACTTGGTTCCTTTCTTCTTCCCAGCCCATCCTGTTTCCTACCTTTCCTTTGTCCTCAATCCTCTCCCTGTCCCCTGCTCTCAATTTCGTCGTGTATTTGACAGATATGAGGGATAGGGACAAAGTGCACTATTTTAAACTCTTATCATAAATTAAAAAAAAGAAATTCTATAAAATGTTGTTGAGATAATAATGTCATCATGACTACATTATTTTATTGTATTCATTCATGGTAGATGGATGGATCTGACTGGGCCAGCATTTGTTGCCCATCTTATTTGCTCTTGAGAAAGCTGCTTGCTTGAACTGCTGTAGTCCATGCTGTAGGTAGCGCCACAATGTTGTTCAGAAGGGATTTCTATGATTTTTACCCAGTGACAGTGAAAGAATATTACTAAGTCTGAATGGTGAGTGGCTTGAAGGGGAACTTGCGGGTAGTGGAGTCCCCCTACATCTGCTGTCCTTGTCCATCGAGATGGAAATGGTCATGGATTTGGAACATATTGTCTCAGGATATTTAAATGGTTAACCATTTCTTCTGTTAGTGTGATACAACTGAAATAGACTAATATCTGTGGGCCTGTAGTTTGCTGAAAAAAAAACGTTGGCCAGAGCATGTAGATTGGAGTTGTGAATATGAATGACTGTTGGTGCATGAACACCCAAAAACCCCAACTGTAATCTGAAGAGCTGCCTCAAACAATTGGCAGAAACTCACCACTCTGATTATTCCCATCTGGAGTCATGGTCATTTCTGTTGCTGGTACCAGTTTCCTAGTTGATGTTTAACAAACCAGTATCAATGATCACAAATGTTCAATTTATACTTGATGTCACTAACACTTAAAATGCCAAGTCCAATTACAGTCAATCTTACACAGATTAAAACAGACACAAGCTAATGTAAATTCTCAGCCAGAAGCTCTGCGCTTGCTGTTATATATTTGACAGGTTTTACGGAAGCAAACATTGAAAAAATTGTTTGCGCCCAATGAAAGCAGCTTTATAAAAAAGAAGTACGTTATGTTCTGATTGGCTTCATGATCAGTAAACAGTGACTGGATCATTTTGTCAGACTTAAGAGATATTTTAAACCCCTTTCCTTGTTTTTTTTTGTAATATTCAGTCCTATTAGTCTTAATCAGAATAATTTGTGAGTTCACTTTTATTTGTGTTTTGTACCAAATTCTGTACTTAGATACTCTATTGTAGACACTCCCCCCACCCCCAACAGGTGTGGAATGGACAAGAGTGGTTGAAGAGAGGAAGACAATAAAGACTGTAAACATCAATCAATGCGATTGTGAAAAGGTTTTGTTCAACATTTTCATCACCTGAGCACAGACCATTATCACATAGAAGGGCCAAATGCCAGTTTTGTGAGTTTATTTATAGTATCTCCATATATATGTATACATGCATACAATATAGAAACAGGCCTTTTGGCCCACCACGCCTATTCCAACGAATAAACACCAAAGTACACTAATTCCATTTACCTGCATTTAGTCCATAGTCTACTATGCTCTGGCATTTTAAGTACTCATCCAGATGCTTCCTAAAGAAGTACTTGCCTCCACCATCCTCTCAGCCAGCACATTCCACATATCTATCACCCTCTGGGTGAAAAATTTTTTCCTTAGATCTCCTCTAAACTACTTACAACTCACCTTTAATTTATGCCCTCTGGTATTAAATACGCCTGCCAAGAGAAAGAAATTATCATGATCTACTCAGTTTATACTTCTCATAATTTTGTATGCCTCAATTAGATCCCCTTTCAGCCTCCTCTGCTCCAAAGAAAACAAGTCCAGCCTATCCAGTCTGTCCTCATAGCAGGCCAAGCCGCATCAGAGGAGCAGGAAAGCTGACGTTTTGCGTCGAGA